ACAGAGAACTAACAAACACAGTTCATATAATTCGAAACTTTAATTGCGCATGTAGTTGCTATTCTCGAGGAACGCGCTTCGCAGTACAACTATCATTTTTATTAAATTACTGTAGATTCGTCCGATAGCTATAATATATATTTGTAGACTTAAACAGGTCTACAAATAGAGAAATTTTTGCCCTACTTTGAATCTCTTTCAACCTCAATTAAACCTTATAAACCTGTTTTGCTACTTGTGTGTGTGTGTGTGTGTGTGTGTGAACAATCAAATAGGACCTCTTTTAATATTACTTGATCTACAGCTTCTACTTAGAAAACTTCTTTTGAACCTAAAAATAGGAAATTTTCCAATAACTGCCATTTACAGGCTCAACGTAGGAGCTCGATTCATGTTAGATTAGAACCTATTATAAATCTCTAGAGCCTACATACGTCCCGAAACTAAGGTTTAAAGTAGAAGCAAAAATTTGAAAAAAAATTCCATGTATAATTTTTACACGATTTCACAATATCGACGCAAAGTCGTTTTTACTTCCTTATATGTAACCGCGTACACAATTTGACGCGCGAGACACTCAACCTCGAATTTCTCATTTACCCGAAGCTAAAACGGATTTCAGACTTCCGCGCGAAGTTCAGGGCGATCGCATATAAAGAGCAAAATGAAGTTAGCCGCGTTAAATACATTATGCGTCATAGCGCCACGTGACAAGCGAAACATCTACATGTACCGAAAGTACCAATATGCGTAAAACTCGACTTGCGTTGCTTCGTTTCTGTCGTTTAGCAGCAGGAGGCGATTGTATCAGAAACTTGCGCTCCTCGCGAACACGCCGCGACGGACGCGTTTTATGCGTCGCCGTCGAGCAGCAATATGCGTTTCCCGTTAACGATTCGACGTTTCCCGTTCTCACCGTTCTCGTGGAAATATACTTTCCACATTTACGACCGCGCGTTTGACGTTTTTTAGACAGAGAGATACGCATCGATTAGAGACCGCGAAAAAAGGAGCTACTTCTATCGTCAAAAATAAAAGATGAAGATACAACCGGTTAGAAACATTATCACACTCACAGTTTTATTCCAACGCATACATTTTTTTTTTTTCCTCAAGTAATTATATTTGATTATAAAAACTGTGCAATATCAAGGAATGGAGATACTCGAGCAGAACGATAAGCCATCGTGATGTCAAAATTTCTCCAAAATAATCGCTAAAACACACTTTTTAATCGCTTACAATTTTAACGCCATTTGACATTATCGAAGCTTGTATAGAATGTTGTATAGAGCGACATACGAGAAAATTCAAAAATTTCCCAATTTTCGATAGGTTTTTTTCTTCCAATCGAATATCTTCTGTTACGCTTTCTAAGCCTTTGATATTATATATTTCAGCACATTAGCCTACTGTTGTAGTTTATAAAAACTCAGTATGTATCTAGGTTTTCGACGGTTTTTGAGAAAAAGAAGTGAAGAAATATATCTTTCGCATTTTTAAATCTTCCACGCAACCCTTTCGCAGTTTCTCGCATACGTAGTTTCTCGGCACCCCGTATAAGGAGGTGACGCTGCTGGGCGACGTTCAACGTGACTATCTTTCGCAACGCAAAGCCGACACGAGTAACAACGAGAACGAGAGAGGAAGAACGTGTAATAATCGTGCGCAAAAAGAATATCTCATTCTCTCGGATGGACAATTGTCGAACTTGTTTCGCGCGAGGAATCGCTCGATATGGACAGAAATTCGTTAAAAGGAACGAGTCGGTATTCATAATGCGTTCTTATTTGAAGAACCATCTTAAGTAACATCTTAAAGTATTAATACCGCTCTGTGATTATAGCTTGTGACATCTCAATCAGGATTATCATAAAATTGGAAATCAGGGAGAAGTCAGGGAATTTTGTAAAATTGTCTGAAATGTTAAAATAGTTGGTTTCAACGAAGTTTAATATACATTATCACTCCTACACACAGTTCTCGAACTGTTAATTAAGTTCAATTTAACAAAATGGAAAAATGCAGCAATATTAATAGTAATCTACACTGCTATGTTAAATTGATCTCCTTCCAACAAGACATTTAATGGTTTCCAAATCAGAATAAAAACATAGAAAATTTGAAATGTTATTGAAAGCCACACAGAGAACGATTTTACTAAGGTATCCAAAAATTTAGCTAGGCACTGATAATATTTTTAGATAAGACACTCAAACCGGTTGGTAGAATGTAAAAAAATCATTAGCTGATTCGTGAATGAAATTTTTTTTGCAAATCAGGGAAAAGTTATGAAATTTTATGATGAGAAATTTGTGACAACTGTGATCTTAAGACTCTACTTAAGAGCAGTTTTAAATAGAAGACTCGATTATGAATACTCGCCTAGGAGCCCAGTTTAAAACAATTCAGTCAATAGCAGTCTATCACTTTTCGGAAAATCTCGTTGTTGAAGAAACGCAGGGATTCCGCCGTGCAACGCGAAAACCGATTGTTCTCTTCCTCGCGTTTGCGTTGTCGCTCATGAAATCGTTCCCTACGACTCCACCTGATTCCGTCGTCATTCGATATATTATCGCCAGAAATAATATCGACAATAATCCTTTTTTTTACCACGATTCGCGACGCGTAGTTATCAAGGCTTACGCTGTGTTTTCCTCATTTATGCGCAGCGCGGAAAATTCGCGAAAATCACGATCGTGGGAAGAACCGACCAATCGACGATTCTGAAATATGTGCAACAATTGAGGAATGTTGACGACGGAAGCATATCGTCGGGGCTTAGGGTTATCCTGGACGATTTACAAATAGATCGGTCTTTTTAATACATTTTTTTAATTATATGCGTGTAGGAAATGTATATGGAACTGCGTATTAATTTTGCATATTAATCTTTTTATCTACGAAAAAAGAGCGAAAGAGTGACTCACGTCTATGCTCGAACCGAAATGAAAATAATTGCATTTGTTACGACTTTCTCTCTCTCTTTTTTTTTTTTTTTTTAGCTAAAATTAATCGAGTTCCAGAAGAAATTATTTATCCAATAATTTCATTTTTAGCTGAAACAAATTCCAAACGTTTAATTACTTTATTCAATATACTCGAAATTCCGATCAAATTGTAAAACGCGCATCGCGTAAGGTTTTTAATTCAAATTATACGCGAATATGAACAGTCAGGAGAGTTTCAAGTCAATCTTTTCGATACTTAAAAATGAAGCGAAAACTTTTCTATACTTAAAAATGAAGTGAAATGTTTTTCCGATATTTCGAGATTTTCAGCGAAATGAAAACGAGACATAAAAATGATTAAGATTTGAAACGCTTCATCACATTTGTCGACAGATCTCTTTTATTTAATTTCAATACCATCCTGTTTTATATATATATATATATATCTTTGTCATTTAATGAACGACCATTACATCTGGTGTGCGTGTGTGACGAATAAACACCGTTCGTTCTCCTCGGCACACACGCGTTACGTGCGTTAGCAGCTGAATAGTTAGTCCCCATTAGTTGCATCATTTCCACAAGAGCATCGGCATCGTCATCGTTTAAAGGTGGCTACAGCAACATTGCAAGCTGCATCGCGTAGGTTTCGCGGAAATTCATTTTCGGAGCCATCTGCTCCGAAATCCGAATGGGAAATCGTCATACCGAAGCCTCCGATTGTTATTTCGCGTGCGGAATCATCTTTCATCTTTCCGTTAACCACATCCTCAAATGTACCTATTCAACGACTCGACGACAACAGATTCGCGATTCGTAAATCTGCTCCAAGGACCGACCCGTCGGTTCAGAAAATGGCAGAGGTACATTTTTAAAAGGAGCTCTCTTAATCTTATGTTAAGATTCCTAAACGTCATCGAGAGATCGGTCTATTGATATTTCCGGGGTCCATGATATATTCTTTGTAAAAGGCACACCACAGACGATGCGAAAGGAGAGAAGAGGAAAATAGAATTTCCAATAAATTCGAACACGTTCGATTGAAATTGCGGCGAGTTCTGTTCTCGGTATCATAGCTACGCGAGTAAGGATTCATATCGTAATCATCGCGCGTAAAGGAAATTCGTTTCCACGTAAATTTTCAACAAAGAAAAAATAAAAAAACTCAACTGAAAACGTGGAAAAGTTTCGAGATTCGAAAAATTCAGGGAAAATTCAGCGAAACTTTCGATATCGGATCGGAGAGGTCGAGACGACCTGAATCTAAGCGAGCTTTCAACTCGCGTAGTGCGAACTCGACAGTCGGATTCTAATCGAAATCCCGAGTATAGATCCTAATCGCCGACCAGAGAGCTCGCATGATCCGAGAGCTCGACCGGAGAGGCTTGTCTGCGGCTCAACGTGCATTTCTAACGCGCGTGTTTTCGGTCAACTAAGATCAGATAGAGTAGAAGAGCTTACGTAAGGATGTAATGTGAGTTCTTCTTGTCGTCTTACAATGCCCTCTCGCGGAATAGAATGTCAAGAACTATCGTGATCCGTTTACATGAGATTAGTCCGATTCTTATTGAAGAATTCTGTTGGTACTGAGTAATTGCCCAATGATCGTGAATTTCTAAAACATGTAAATAGACCTTAAATATTTCCTAAATGTCCATCGCAGTGTTAAAAAAAATCAATGTAGAGAAATAAACCAATGAAAAGTTTCAAATTAAGGATATACTTTTACTTGTATTACATTTATTACATATATATATATTTTTTAAATATATTCTCTTAAAGATTGAAATTAATATTTTACATATATAAAAAATAGAAACGTAATAAATAATGGTAATAACACTACAATAGTATA